TTACATAAAAAATACGTAATCAATAATAACATTTTCCTGTAAATTTCTGAGAATTTTTAAGTTTTTTGTTCTTTCATGGTTATAACATTTCAATGGGAAAATTTTTGTATCTGGCATGTTAGTTTTTTAACTTTTAGCCATGTTATACATAGACTTATAGACTTTATTTTTATTGTTAATTAATTCGTACACTAGTGTCCCGCTCAAGGAAGCTGTTCAAATAGCCCTGAGATTTTATGAGCAAGTCAATCCTCCGGAAATATCTCGCAAGACTATGAAAAAACTACTGAATTGGTGAGTAAGTTACACATTAAATGCAATGGTTTGGTGGTATGTACAAGAAGACGGTTTAGCAATGGGCACATCCCTTGCAGTAATACTGAACAATTTGTGGCTCAAAGGATACGAACCTGCTTTAATGAAAGAAGTACCAAAATTGACTGCGCTAAATGAAGATAACAAGGAAGTCTGCCCTCGATGTCAGAAAAAAGGTGATATATCGAACTAAGGGGGTAGAATGCGAAGCCTGTTTGAATTGGTTTGGTAACATATCGGAATCCGAATACGCAGAGATCACTAAAACAGTATGATATTGCATTACTTGCAAAAAACAAGAAGAAGCAGATCGGACTGAGAATGTTGTTAAAGTTTCTTTAAGATTTGTGGACGACATAGTTAGAACTGTCAAGGGCGATCCTGGGGTAGTCTTCGAGGCAGCCAATAAGTTGCATCCAAACTTGCAGTTAACCATAGAAGAACTTGATTGTGCCATTCTGGAAGATTGGCACCGCGTAACCTTCCGGCACGACACGAGAATAGAAATAGAGGCCTTAGCGATAAAAAACTGTTGCAAAGGAGGTTCAGAATGCTCAGGAATTTTGATTTTCAAAAATTCGATTTGTGACGTCACATTTCTCAGAAACGTAAACGGCCATTTTATGCCAAAAAGTGACGAAAAACAGAACAACAGCTAAAATAGTGAAAAGCAGTCGTACGGGAACGATAGAAGAAACAAAGCCACTTATCGCGACAATCACGCACGATAAGACAGCTAATCAGAGAAAACAGGTGGAAAGGAGTCTTCAGTGGGGAAGGTGTAAAGAGCAGTACCCTTCCGTGCCACGAATTGGGAGTAATAACGACGTTGTTACAGTAAAAACACGGAAGTGGAGGCTCGGCCACCCAGAGACAGTATATGGTGAAGAACTATAATAAACTGACTTTTTAGCTACTCCGATGCCATAAACTTTTGAATTAACACCGGTATTGATTGATATTTTAGAATATGAGTACCTAGAAAGAGGAAAGGGTCAATCCATCTCCAATGATTTTAATATAGAACTGTCACCAAAAACATAGTAAAATAGGATATTTGAGCCGTGTTTTTAATAGCAATCACGTAGTCTGAGGATCCGAGACCCAGCTATGTGGTTGTGTTCGCATGTAAACGAAAGATGATTAAGAGTCGTTTGACTGATGGCCTGAAAATAGTAACTTTTTACTTAGCCCTAAACAGACCACAAAATCAAATGGTTAGGTCGAGACGGTTAAAAACGAGTAGAATTTAGGTAACTCACGACGGCCGGTCGTTAATAGGTACTTTTTCTACGCTCCGTCACTGTGTAGTATTTGGGCGAATGTTACATAGACGTTTTTATGGCGCTCCTGGGTGGGCCTGTTAAAGGCATGAGACCATCATGATCAGCAAACGTTTCAGCGACGAACCCTCCGCTCCGGGCGTATGCCCGAGTTAGAGGCCCTAATGACCTTTGTTGTACTAGGGGGAAGGTGCGGACCCTCCGCCTAGTACTATTTAGCTTTTTAACCTAGTTAACACCGAAAATTCCGGGGGCCGGAGGGTTAGGTGGGAAGTCATGAGCCCGCTTATCCCAAGGTCCCGGGACCAAAAACAATTGAAGAGAAAGCGTAAAACCAAACAAAAATAGTGTATAACCAAGAAAAAGCCAAAAACAAACTTTTCTGAAAAGAAAAAAGTACAAAAAACAGTAAAAAAATCCAAAAAAGACCAAAATTAATGAAAAACATAAAGTGACAGTTTATATGCTATTTCCGGACGAGATGTGATCTTACCTTCCTATTTGTTGTTGTTTCAGATTGACTTATTTGAAAGATTGAGTGTTTTGGTGGCGGGTTAGGTACCCTCCTTCGAGTGTTATTTGAGTATTTAAGCACTTAATGGTGATTATGCCGGTGACCGGAGGGTAGAGTGGCAAGCTGACCGACATGTTCCACACTCAACAGGGACCTCAGGAACAACATCCACAACGACTGTTTGGTATCGTTGACACATTTTTAGTATCGTTTGGGTACTATTTCATTAAAAATCAAGTGGTGGGGGGCACGATTGGCGCGGTACCCTCCATCGATTGCGAATTTCCGAGTTAAGGGTCTTAATTCGGGTATTTTGGTGCAGAGGAGGGTATAGTAATATTGATTTACGACTACTAATAGACTATTATCCTCACTATATATTTCTTATCTCCTATTTAGACCCGAGAAACACCCCAATTTTGTCGAAAATTACCGATCTTCGACCTAACTGTTGACCCCCAAGATTTTGGATATCCGAGCTTTTCCAAACAGCAAAAAACTTTTATACAGGGAGTTACTACGTAGTTCGATCCCTCCAACTAAAGAAACCGCGCGGAAAAAGACTAAGTAGATATTGGCGAAAACAAAATTTTTTCGAATAAAGTTTTTGTAATTTTCCGAATTTCGTCAATAGGTTTTGAGGATCAAGTTTTTGAGTTTTTAGAGTTAGAGCAATAAAAGTTTTTGTGTTAGGAGCGTGCTAGCATAACGTGCTCGGTTGTTATCAAGATTTTTGAGTAACCCTCCGAATAGCTCCGTGGATAGAGCTAGAGACTTAAAGATTGGAAATGGAAGGAATCGGAGGGTCCAAATTTGACAGTATTTGGCCAAATTTTTGTTTTCAAATCAATTTTGGTCAAACTTTTTGCATTATTCCAGTGCTGCACGGGGCTTCTACGATCGTTTCAATTATTTTTAGGCACTTTCACTCAGAATTGCGGAAAAAGTCTTTCAGAACCTATATAGGTGGTGAAAAAAGGCCAATTTGACGAACGCGACTTTGGCGATTTTTCAAAAACAAGCCAACCAATCGGAATAACTTTGGTACCATAAGTCGATGTTTTTAACCATTTTCTTGGACTGCAAACATTTTTGGGTTGATAATCTCAGGAAAGAAAAATTTCTTAGAATTTGTTGGTTCGTAGGGTCCAAATTTTAGGAAACCCTCCGAGCGGCAGAAATTTTTATAAGATCACCTTTTTATCCTACTGGGAAGGTTGACCGAGTCAGCCAACTTAAATTTAGGTCATTTAGACCGCATTCGAAGGCTTTACAGCGGTAAAATAATCCGTTTTTTTAATTTTCGGGGAACCCTCCGAAGCAACCCTCCGGAGTCAGTTAAGCCCCTTAGCAACCCTCTTTATTAGAAAATTTCCACGGAACCCTCCGAAGAAGTTGAATCAACCCCCACAGAGAATTTAGCTTGTTTTTACACTTTCTGAGGTGAGTTGGAGACCCTTCTAAGTGAGATTTGACCCTCCGAAGTAACTTGGTTGACTAAGGTAGCCTCCGAAGTCACCCTCCAAAGTAAGTCAAGTGTCGTAACAACCCTCCGAACTAACCCTCCGGAGTGACTTAAGCCCCATAACGACCCTCCTTATTGAAAATTTAGGGGTATCTTTCGGGGAAATTTGAGCAACTAAAATATCCCTTTAGAGTGGGAATAAAAAGTCAATTACCAACGAGCGTGCATATTAGGATTATAAGAGCCCATTTGACCCAGAAATTTGTGATCAACTTTGGATTCTACATGGGGTTTATCAAAAGTACCCGAGCTAATTTTTTTTTGGGTGTTTTTTTGGCTGTGTGGTTGCCTTGAGCTACTTAATAGGAAAGCTCGGGAAATCCGGGAACACATAAAAGAAGACCTCGCTGAGTGTATTAGGCAAGTACACACTCACTTGAGCAGAAGAGTTGTTCCCTGCTCTCGTGCACCTGGGGCGACCCGGGTGTGGGAGAGCTTTTTCATAGACTTTCATAGAAATTTTCGATCAAAGGTTGCCTTGAGCTACTTAGTAGGACAGCTCGGGCAATCGCAGGACTCCTAAAAAAAGACCTCGATGAGTGTATTAGTCAAATACACACTCATTTGAGAAGAAGAGTTGTTCCCTGCTCTCGTGCACTTGGGGCGTCTTGGGTGTTGGAGAGCTTTTTCATAGACTTTCACAGAAATTTTCGATCAAAGGTTGCCTTGAGCTACTTAGTAGGACAGCTCGGGCAATCGCAGTACACCTAAAAAAATACCTCGATGAGTGTATTAGTCAAATACATACTCACTTGAGAAGACTGTGTATGGGCTTCGTTCTGTTGGAGTGTTCCAATTGAGGGAAGTCTTTTTCTTGAGGCTTAAATTTTAATTATCTGTTACTGAAATCATCACTGCTCTTTTATAAAATATTGTTTGATCTTCAACGAGGCGGTGGTTTGTTACGAGTGTGGCAGTAAGATTGATACTAAACGAAAAGTCCCTGTCACCTATAGTTTGTTCTTATCTGGTTATCAGTTGTGTTTTGTGTATTGACTATATCTTGTGAAATTTATGTCATACTGTTATACTAAGTAATTGAGTAGAGTCGGTAATATCTAGACACTAAGCAGGCCCTTGTACTGAGTCACTTATAGTATCTCTACGAGATCGAAGGCGTATTTTTGATACTGGAGGACTCGAGTGAGTAGACTTGAGAAAAGTTTTTTTTGAATTTTATTTTGAAACTTGTGCAATGCCGTCGAAATCTTTTTTATTACTCATATCTAAGCTGGCTAATATTAATGGATTCATTTATAAGTCAAGGCTCTTAAGTTTCGTAGATGCCAGAATCAAACTTCGGTTTCCAATGTGTCTTGTTTCTGTCTGTACACTCCAATGTAGGCGTCTTGCACCAATATCTTCAGCATTTCATCCTGGGAAATGCTTCGGGTGAGTTAAGCTTTGTTCGTGCAAAGCTCACGTAATGACTGGTCTTTATGCAAATCACTGAGTCCAGAATGTATTTGAACCCATTCAGACTTTGTTCTCCGGTAGGAATTTCATCTTTGACGTGGTTCTTTTTGGATTTGTGTATAACATCAAAGCATTGTTCGCAGTACTGAAAAATCGAGAAGTTTTTGCGAGCTCCCATCACTCTTTCAGATCTCGACAATGAACAACTCTTGCACCTCAATTTCGCCGCAGCAACAGAACAGATGGAACACTTTTGGGGAGAAGATAGGGAGATGTTTGATATGTCAATTTCAGTCGGAAGAAAGATTCCAGGAAACACTTTCTCTTTGCCGAATCGTGGCAATTGTATCAAGAAGCATGTCGGATTCTGTCGAAAGAATTGTCCTTGAAGCACAAAAGACTGCGCCAGAATGTTCCGCACGCATGGAATGGACTTTTGCATTTTAGCGTAGGCTTCTTCGTTCTCAGGTTCCACGAACACTTGATACACGAACAGGTCTTGATCTTCTTCAAGCATGACGTTGCGAAGGTGCAACAATGGTGGATGACCATCTCCACCCACGAAATTTTTAGAGAATAGCACTGCTAGCAGTTCCTCTGCATCCTTCTCCTCCTTCAACACTCCAGGGAGAAACGTCTCCAGTTGCTTCCGCAGCCGCATGACATTTCCGGCAGGCATGAAACAGTTTTCACCCCTCAAAGGATTGACAATTAAGGTCAATAGATTATTCTGCATTTCAAACGCAGATGAATTGCGAATATCGACGTTTTTACATAAGTCTATTTTGCAAATCGAGTCCAGAGCATCAGAGAACAAGAAAAGCGAGTAGAACAAGCTGTCCATGTAACACGAATTATGATGTCCCTGGATGCCCTTCTTCTTTCCAATATGGACCTGCTGCACGGCGTACTGTCTGGCGGCTCTGGGGGTATTATCTCTGGATAAAGTGGTCGGCTCAAAAGACTCATCGCCACTTTCAGATTTTGCTACGACCACAAAACCAGGTCCAAAATCATTGTCTGTGTCAGCAAGAGAGAACAAGAAATTTCGACTCACAATGAATGACATTCCACCAATTTTTCGAAAAAAAGAATCGTCTAAACCCTTTATTTCATTCCTATCGATATCGATTTCTCTGAGCTGATAATATACAAATCCATTTCTCAAAATGCATTTTTGCAACCCATCAACATTCTGCTCATAATTAGGAGTAAACCGGATCATCTCATCCATCATCTGTACCTCGACAAATGACTCAGGCTCGAGAATATTTGTCACGATTGCGGGGAACTTTCGCTTCAGAGATGGAATGAAAACGTCGCATACATCTTTGATCTTCGGAACCTCAAATAGGGCACCCGAAGAGTGTTTATGAAACTCAATGACTTGTACTTTTGCAACAGGGGTAAACAAACACCGTTCTCTCAATGGTTTCTCATGCCAGAGTTTACCATCATACGTTCCATCTCCAAATGTTTTGCAATGACATCGTTCAATGAGCTTCACACAAGCTGTGGCCCCGCCTTTTTCAGTGCTTATGATAGCAACAACAGTTCCATAATGGTTTTTTTTTCGCAAAAGAGTGTCATATGTCCTTCTTCAATGTAGCAAAAAAATCCTTGCTTGAGATGAATTCCATGAGGCTTTAGGCTTTCGTAAGACGGGGACGGTGCGCTTGAGTTGCTTTCTGGGTTGGGCGGGAGAGCGCGTGGAAATTCGGGTGTACGCGAGTTCAATGTAGTTGTCTCCGGGTTGGGTGGGAGAGCACGTGGAAATTCAGGTGTATGCAAGTTAAATGTAGTTGCCTCCGAACTCAATTTAAGGCTTTCATATTTTGGGGAAGGCTCCGTTTCATGGTCTTCAAAATCAAACTTATCGGCTTGTTTGCGATTCTCCTCGCAGTTTGAATCTTTGACTTGGGAAGTGGCTGCTCGCCTCAGGAAAATTTTTTTATTCTGTACTGCGAATCGCCTTCACTGTGAAAGTGTCTAGAATCAACGCCTAAGCAAGCCTCCTTGATATTTCCATCAGCAAAGACAACTGGGCAAGAGCCATCATCCTTCTTTATAACAAACCCATTGAAAATACTGTAGTTGGTAACGTAAACTTAAATTTGGCTCGAGTCATATACGAGTTTACAGCGAAAGACAAATCTAGCAAGCTTCTGGTGTATTTCAATACATAGACACTGTGAAGCTTTTTTTGGTTTTATTTCGAGAAAATTCGATTTTTCTTCTGAAATTTGGCTGAACACTTCCGAGTTTAGAAAAATCATCTGTAACCTACCATTGTCTTTAGCATCTATGAAATATGCCAATTCTATTGCTTGGAATGAAAACTTGGCACACGTCTAAAGGTTGCAAACTACGCCCATCAACTTCAACAAAATCTACTAACTTCAAATAAACCTCAGGTATAAACAAACAGCTTTTGACTTTTCCTCCATCTAAATAAAGTTTTCCCTTGAATGAGCCATCAGTTGCGCTAGCACAACTCATGCATGGCTCTATCAACTCAACGCCGAATAGAACTTCATCCGTGTCGCGTAACAAAGTGAAAATGTAGCCACAATGCCAGTCAAATAAGCAACTTTTGTCAGCAAAATAGGAGTCTTCAATCTAGCAGAACTTAACAATCAATGGGTTGTTTCGCTCCTCAGTATTGTATGTCTCTTTCTTCGACGGGTAGCCAGTGAGATCCACCATTTCAATGTCATTATCATGCAATTGTGGTGTCGAGTCATTGCTTCTGTCAGATTCATTTTGAGATTTAATTTTTCTAACGATGATATTAGAGACATTTTTTTCGCCCCATTTTAAATCATCCTGAATCGCCGTGTATATTTTTGAAGATAGCTGTGGTACATGAGAACAGTGACAAAGCTTGACTGTATATCTTTTACTTTCAACCCTTTTTACAATACCTTGGTGAATTCCACTTTCGAAGAAAAATATCTCGCATGAATCGTCTACTTGGCAGGGAGTACAGCGAACAGCAAAAGCACACAAGCTCTTTGTTACGGTAATAGTATTATTCTCACAATGCAGAACCCATTTGATGTTCCAAAATGCAGATGGCTGCTCACTTTCTGGTACTGCCACAAATTTTAATTTTGTTTTTGTGTCGTAATCCAAGAATTTTTTTTACTTCACCGTAAACAAAATGATTGATCGTCGGAATATAGCACCTGGCTATGTGTCCTTCCAAAGGCACACGATTGGAATCTGATCGCAATCCTCCTATTTTTCTAACGACGACATTGTACACAAATATAGAAAATGGATCTTCAGGCACACAGGATCTAGATTTTTCGACCAGCAGAAATTGAACTTTCGAAGACATTCCTGTACATTTCTGAATAGATTGTACGGAACCTATGTGCGATTTCTTGCATTCAGGGCATGGGTCAATACGACAGAAATCACCAGTTTATATGATATCACCATTGGTTGCTTTGAAATTGTCATCGAACTGTACCCAAGGCTCCTGCTTCTCAACAGTGTTATATCTTCCACCGAAAGGTGATCGATTGTGTTGTGCAACATCCGCATAAGAGCGCTTGGAGCTACTCATCAGTTGTTATTATTCGGAACTATAACTGGCATTAACACATCGGGAAAATCTCGAGATCTGATTCTATACAGTTTGGCAAAACTAGACAACGAAATCCATCTGAAAACCTGCAATTGAGATAACTCCAACACCAGTGGACAAAAATGAACGCAATTTCTTTTTTCGAAGGAAATTTAGAACATTTGCAAAAAAACGATGGTCAGTTGCTGTGCAAGTAGCACAGAATTTTCCGACCACAAACAATAAAAAATTTTTGTTTTTTTTTCAAATTGCCGTTTTTTGAGCGTGGTGAGATGATAAAACGAGGCAAAAGCCTAGAAAATTAGAAAAATAAAAACACCTAGAATATTCGCCCCCCTATATAAACACCTGTAAAACTCGCCATAAAAAAGCCTGTAACATTCGCCCCAAAAGTCACCCAGCAATGGAAAGTAGAGAAAGTCCCTATTGACGAATGGCTGACGTCAGATACCTTATTTCAACGGTTTTTCACCGTCTCGACCTAGCCAGTTGAAATTTAAAATGTTAATTCAATTTTTTTCGCACATTTTGTGCATCGTCAGGATTATAATTTTTTTACAATACATACAAAACAATCAAAGATCTGAAAAATTAAAAACACGTTTGAAAATGGTCTAAATTTTTTTGACCAATCAAAATTAAATAACCGTAATTACATAATAATTTAAGAAATCAATAATAACATTTTCTTGTAAATTTTTTAGATTTTTAAAGTTTTTTGTTCTTTCATGGTTATAATATTTCAATTCGGGAAAATTTTTGTATCTGGCATGTTAGTTTTTTTAATTTTTAGCCATGTTATACCTAGACTTTTTTTAGGGTTAATTAATTCGTACACTAATGTCCCGCTCAAGGAAGCTGTTGAAATAGCCCTGAGATTTTATGAGCAGATCAATCCTCCGGAAATATCTCGCAAGGCTATGAAAAAACTACTGAATTTGGCAGTGAGTAAGGTACACATTGAATGCAATGGTTTGTGGTATGTACAGGAAGACGGTTTAGCAATGGGCACCTCCCTTGCAGTAATACTGACGAATTTGTGGCTCAAAGGATACGAACCTGCATTAATGAAAGAATTACCAAAATTGACTGCGCTAAAGGAAGATAACAAAAAAGTCTGCCCTCGATGTCAGAAAAAGGTGACATATCGAACTAAAGGGGTAGAATGCGAAGCTTGTTTGAATTGGTTTGGTAACATATCGGAATCCGAATACGCAGAGATCGCTAGAACAGTATGGTATTGCATTACTTGCAAAAAACAACAAGAAGCAGATCGGACTGAGAATGGTGTTAAAATTTCTTTAAGATTTGTGGACGCCATAGTTAGAACTGTCAAGGGCGATCCTGGGGTGTCTTCGAGGCAGCCAATAAGTTGCATCCAAACTTGCAGTTCACCATAGAAGAACTTGATTGTGCCATTCTGGAAGATTGGCACCGCGTTACCTTCCGGCACGACACGAGAATAGAAATAGAGGCCTTAGCGATAAAAAACTGTTGCCAAGGAGAATATTCTGTTTGTGACACCACATTTCTCAGAAACGTAAACGACCATTTTAAACCAAAAAGTGACGAAAAACAGAACAACAGCTAAAATAGTGAAAAACTGTCGTACGGGAACGAAAGAAGAAACGAAGCTTCTTATCGTGACGATCACGCACGATAAGACAGCTAATCAGAGAAAACAGGTGGAAAGGAGACTTCAGTGGGGAATGTGTAAAGAGCAGTACCCTCCCGTGCCACGAATTAGGAGTAAGAATGACTTTGTTACAGTGAAAACACGGAAGCGAAGGCTCGGCCCCCCAGAGACAGTATATGCTGAAAGACTATAATAAACTGACTTTTTAGCTACTCCGATGCCATAATCTTTTGAATTAACACCGGTATTGATTGATATTTTAGAATATGAGTAGCTAGAAATAGGAAAGGATCAATCCATCTCCAATGATTTTAGTATAGAACTGTCACCAAAAACATAGTAAAATAGGATATTCGAGCCGTGTTTTTAATAGCAGTCACTTAGTCTGAGGATCCGAGACCCAGCTATGTGGTTGTGTTCTCATGTAAACGAAAGCTGATTAAAAGTCGTTTGACTGATGGCCTGAAAATAGTAACTTTTTACTTAGTCCTAAACAGACCAGAAAATCAAATGGCTAAGTCGAGACGGTGAAAAACGAGTAGAGTTTAGGTAACTGACGCCGGCCAGTTGTTAATAGGTACTTTTTCTACGCTCCGTCGCATTTGGGCGAATGTTAGATAGACGTATTTATGGCGCTCCTGGGTGGGCCTGTTAAAGGCATGAGACCATCATAATCAGCAAACGTTTCAGCGACGAACCCTCCGCTCCGGGCGTATGCCCGAGTTAGAGGCCCTAATGACCTTTGTTAAACTAGGGGGAAGGTGCGGACCCTCCGCCTAGTACTATTTAGCATTTAACCTAGTTAACACCGAAAACTCCGGGGCCGGAGGGTTAGGTG